TTCTCTTCTTTACAAGACCTTATTGAGTGTCTGCTTTACCCCGATCCTTATTAGCAGGACGATCATGGTTTTTCTTACTTCGACTCTGCAAAGATGCATCAACAACTAAGGGAGCCTCGTAGTCTAGCACAAGAGTGGCACAACCAGCTGGTGGGTCTTTCTTTTTGAGATCATCTGCAAAAAAGAAGGTAGTTAACTAGTAAGATAGTATGCTAATGTGTATATCTCAAGTGAATAAGGGGAAGAGTTATAGAAAAGTTTTTTCTCCTCTCATCCACAGACTTTGCCTCATCGATTTCATAACAATGTATCTCCAAGTCAGAGAAGGAAAACAAAGTTTCCTTCATATCCTTTTCTACATCGATAAGAGATTCATACAAGATGAAATATTTTTTAGTTCTCTGAGATAAGTGACCCGAGGACCAAAATTGCTTCCTTCGTTCAGAGCAAATTATTGGGGATGATGAAGGAGAAGAAAAGGTGCAGAACTCACTATGAGCAAGAGGAGAAAGGGGAGAAACCGGGAAATAACACTCCTTAAAACTCTTCCAATTTCCAATATAAACACAAAAAATCACATTTTTCAATCAGCAAAGAGAAATAAGCCTGCAACCTCGATTCTTGGAAGCAGGATTAACTTCAAAGAGATGGAAGAAGAGGTTTAAAGAAGTTGAATACATATTCCCCTTATATTTGTATCAGTATTAGAAGATCCTCGTAAAGCCTCATGCGTAGGGATGAAGTTATGATGGAGGAATATAAAGATGATCTAACACTCCCTTTTAAAAAGTAGTCAATCATAGTCGTACCCATGATTTCTCGAAGATGCAAGAGTATAAAGAGATATAGTACCCTTCAAAGCTATGGTACGCTCTCTTATCCATAGGGATCACCAAAATTTTCCAATTTCAAAAAGACCTTACTTCAAATGGAAGCTCTATCCTCCCGTCCCCCTTGGTTTAGGGTTTAGGGTTTAAGGGGGCAAACCCAATTTCTGTAGAGAAAACCAATTAAATATTAACACACTATATTAAATAGAAAATATATATCCAAGGGAAGTTGTCATGCCGCTTCATTATACAAAAATGGAATAGACAGAAGTACTAAAGTGTCCTAGATAGGAAAATCATTCCCTAGTTTGTGTCATTGGCTGGACGCACTGGGAGCAGGTATCGAAGCGTTCTTAGGACAAGAAAAGCATTTAATACTCTTGTCTCCTACTACCTTTCAACTGTTTCCAAAGCATTTCGGCTTTATATCACACCGGACCACGACATGGAGACCAAAGCGTTTCGGCTCCAAAGCCTTTGGGGCATTCGTTTTGGACCGACGAAAGACCTAATAGATCAGAGGCTCAATCCATTTCATATCCACTATACTCGGCCCAAAGTATTAAAACAGTTCACATGCTAAGAGCAAGGTACAATCTCTGATTTCCAATTTTTCACTATAGTTATCTTGAATCATGAACTGACTTGGGTGAAAAGTGTTAATCACGCAGGTCCACACTGCACCACCGTAAAAGAGATCAGAGCCACCATTCAAGATCATCAATTATCTAACTATCTGCATTTTTAGTTCCTAAGCGGAGTTAGAACATCCATTTCTGGTTTCCGGACTGAACAAATATGATTTTGTGATCTAGAAGATGCTCTGCATGAGACAGTGTCGACGAGGATCAATTATGACGTGACCCTCGGGTCGCCATGGGAAGTTATTTTGTGTACTTAGTGGTCTCTAAGAGAAGCATATTGTATATTATCTTCTATTTGGAATATTATTTCAACCAAGAATTGTAAATTGAATGTTATACCAAGTTGTAAATACTATTGAGCAGATCGTTCGCCCGTGCACGCCTAAGCTAGCTTGCAGTTGTTGGAGGATTTGAAGTATCTCTTATCCGTGGATTTGTAGTTGCACCGAAGGTTGCTTTAAGTGTTGGCTTAGAAGTAGGTTTTTAAAAGATTGAAGGTTCAGGAGAAATTGTAACGTTCTCTGGCCGATCTTCGGAGGAACAAGATTCTGAGGAGTAAGAATGGAAGGAGGAGTCACAAAGACTAGACTGTCCTCGTTCATTTGAGGAAGTGGATCATCCCTTATGGGATCGGGAGCATTGATTGTGGCAATTATCGCGGGGGTGGTGTTGCCTTGGATGGCTAATTGAGTATATTTCAATGTTGTTCTAACTTTCACAAGATCAATTAATTGTTCAAACAGTAAGAAGATCAGTTATTTCCAAATTGCGGTAAAGAGACAATGTTTTCTCGTGGAGTTCGAGTGAATTAGTTATCTATTCCCACTTACAGCGTCATTATTCCATGGTGGAATTGGGAATAGAAACAATATAGGAAGGAGACCTTCCGGTGCAGTTGAGAGTGATTATGATACAGCGGAGTGGGATGAACCTACATGGTTATCACTCTAATGTCAAAGTTAGTGAAATATTAGAGAAGCAGTTTAGAGTGAAGTGAAAAAAACCAAAAACTAGCACGTGTGAATCTTATAAAAGGTGAAAGGTTAAAACTGCTTCCGATTAACCCATCGCATTATACAGATCGTCGTTTGATCGAATATGACAGTAAGAAATAAGTCTGAGACCGAAATCGCATGCTCCGTATTTGACTGAAGTCTCACCTATTCTCCAATTGTTACCCACACTTTCCGTGTTAGACTCCATTATTAAGTCTTTGTTTGTAGGTCTTGCGAACAGTCAAAACAACTCGCAGTGCATATTTAAGTGTAAACTAATTAGTAGAAGCTGGCTATAATGGAGAATCAGTTAAATTTTATGTAGTTAATGAGGATGACCACGACTGTTTGCCGAATCGATCATGATGTTAACTTCATGTGGTTGCAAATTGTAAGTATAATGAGTAACATCAGCTCCACACCATATACATCTCTTTTGCATATGCAACCAAAATAAAAATCTCATAGATGAATGGGATAACAAGGAAGGAATAAATTAACAAATGGTCACTGCGGATATTTCTTTTATAGTGTCATTATCACAACATAGTATGTAATATAGTAATTCAATTGAAAATTTTCATAATAAATGCTACGTTGACTATTAAAAATTCCTCTATCATCCTTCAATGAATATTTAGTTTTGATTATTGGCTCTAACGAGTCTTCTTGATAGTCACAATTCTAACCACTATCAAATACTACTTTTATTTAGGGGTGTAGATGAATAACTATTTAATATGAATCTATTCATTTTTATGGTTATGGTTTATAAATTAAATCACTTGTTCCGAAACAATTTAAAACTGATTCTAAATAGATTTTGATTTTAATCTAAATTATTTAATTAATTTAAATTTTATTTCCTTTAAATTATATTAATTTTTAAATATAAATCCTTAAGTTTTAATATATTTTTTCTTTGAAAATAAAAAAAATACATTTTAAAAAACAATTTAAAAAAAAAATTCTAAAAATAAAAAATATTTCAAAAATAAAAAAAAAACTAAAAATAAAAAATTTGAACTTAAAATGGTGACTAATATGTTATAATATATATATTTGTATATTTCAAAACCTCTATTTATTGGTGGAGAAGTCTATGATATTTATGATCATTTTTTCATAAAGCTTTAATGATCTTCGAGATTTATAAATGAAAACTAGAATCAAATCCAACAAATCAAGTTTTTGTATATTTTCTTGTAGATGTCAAATCAAACTCGATGCACTGAGATCTATATAATTAACTAGTGAAAGTTTATATAATTAACGGTTAAAAAGTCCATATGATTTGTGAAGCATTAATACACCATTTTAGGTAGTTAGAGAATCCGTAAACAATTTTTTTTTATTTTAAAAAACAAAATTCTTAATTTTTTGTAAAATAACTTTTTTATCAAATTCAAAAAAATTAACTTTAAAATAGTTCAAAATATAAAATTGATTTATAACGTGTATATGATGAAACATGAAAAGAGACAAACATATTAATTTAACAAATAATGAAATTTGGATACCCAATAACTAAGCCACATTATTATTATTATTATGAAAACCGATTTATATTTAGATAACAAAATGGATAACCACATTTATATTTTAGCATTTGGTTTGGATTTTTAAAAGTAGAATAATTTAAATACTAATTTGATTAACAATAACCGTTTTTTTGCACACCCCTATTTTTACCATCGCCAATCACCATACTAAATATCATCGAATACTACTTATCATTACTTTATCCACTTATGTTCTCTTATATGATCACCATCGACTGCCATTATAACCACCGCTCGGCCAGTGACACTCATCACTTTGACCACTATCGATCGATATTCTTACCATCGTCGATGACCACTTTATCCACCTCTAATCATCAATCTAACCACCAGCGCAATCATCTAGTCTTGATCATCGCTAACTACCATTTTAACCACCCCAATAACCACCACCGATCACTATCACTAACTATGCTGACCACCGGAAATCATTATCCAAATCAACACCATCGACTATCAATCCAACAACCACCAATTACTATCCTGACCACCATCAGCCACCATTCTTTCTTCCTTTATAGTCTAAAACTTATCAAATGGTTTCCTATCTAAATATTATTGATATATTTTGTACCATTGTGTGGATAAAGAATGGATGAAACATAGAAGAATAAATAGTTAAACTTACCACCAATGTTTTTATATCTTATATAGTAATATATTTATTTTCTTTAAAAATTGATTTAGAAAGGTAACAAACAACAATATTTTCTCTATTGAATAAAAAAAATTATTAACACTTTTTAATGAACTTTGTTTCCTTTGTGGAGACAAGAGCCCCATAACATTTTTCATAGATCTACCATTCTTAGTCATAGAAAAGAAAGAAATGTTAATAACAAAATAATAGAAGCTAATGGAAATTAAACATTTGCAAACATGTTATTTTACTTAAACAAACTATAACATAACATAATTCTCTTTACACAAAGTGCCAAAGTAACATTACATAAAAACAACAACATTTCATCAATTCTCATGAACTTGTTTTTGTTCATCTTTCAAACGTTGTTGAACCATAGATATATAAATTGAAGCTTTCATGTCAACACTTTCATCCGTTGGAAAATTGTCACTCCAACAATCTGTTACCACAATGGAAACTTTTGGGCTTGGCTTTGCATACTCTTTGTGGACTACAACAACATGAGAGGCAGGGGAAGGTGAAGAGTGATTTGGTTTAACGTTGGTTGTTGTGAATTCTAATGTTGTTGTTGAAGGTTTTGATGTTCTAAAGAGAGGTGATAGCTTTCCTTTCAAAAGTCCTCGGTTTCTCTTTCGGTTTGCTTCCATTTTTTTTTGTATGAGGAAATTGTGAAGATGCAAAAGGAGTAAAGGAGTGTAAGGTGTGAGTTTTTGTAGGCTAGAAAGTAGAGGGTGTGGAGGTATATATATTGTTCTAGGGGTCCTTTTTTTTGTTGATTTGGATAATGGATTAGTAGAATCAACTCATACACATTATGGTGGAGGTGTTCTCTTAAATTATTATTTTGTTTTTTTATTTAACTAACTTATCAATAGAAATAGATTTAAATATATTTGTAATCCCGATAAGTTGGCGGGTTTTTTATTTTGTCTAAATTTTTATATCTTATTTTTTGCGTTCGTTTTAGTCTTAAAGTTAAAATATAGGAAAATTTATAGGAACTTGCGAATTTTTTTGCAGATTTTAAATTTAGAGACTAAAACCGTGAAAAGTGAGAGATAGGAATTCAGACTAAAAAAAGTACATGAATCAAAATCAAAAACTTAGTAACTTATAAGGATCAATTGACTATTTTAGCTATAAATAATTTAGTACTCCTTCCGTTTCATAATGAGTGACTCAATTGACTTTTCACACAGATTAAAAAAATAATAAATAAAAGAGATAATAATATGTTTATTAAAGTATCTTTATTATTTATTGAGAATGATGAAAGTAATATTAGTTAGAGGATAAAATTAAAAAATATGTATTAAAAATTAAAATAAATTATTCATTTTGAGTCACTCATTATAAAACGGATGAAATATAAATTTGTGATAAACTTGTTTTTCATAAGGTATCTATTAAGCAACAGTCACATTTATCTCATAGGTTCTTGTACCTAAGTGATTTCAATAATATCAAAATCACATTTATTTTGGAACACTTCTAGTTTTTATATTAAAAAGACATCACTCAAAGTTCACTTTAGACCTTAAAAAAAATGTACTATGGATGAGGATGGGATTATGGTCCTCTATCTAAATATCTGAGGGCATATCTCTTTGAACTTATATTGGTGTCCTGGTTTATTCCCATAGTTTTGTTGTTTCCTAACTATGATGTTGTTCACTTTTGCAAGAATCTAATAATAATTTGTCTACTTATACTTTATCTAGAAAAATATGGCCTACCAATATTGGAAAGGATCAGATTCAAGTTAAATCCAACCAAATTTCCAATGTGGTTAGAGTGCTTCCCTTAATATATCTATTTGTTAATTAAGTTTTAATCATCTTTTGACACAAATGCTTATATTATTTTGGAAAATTAGTTCATTTAGTTTAAGATATTTGTGTAAAGGGATTCATGGGCTCCATAGATGCTTGATTGTTTGGACTTTATAGCAGAAGAATTTATGCTCTATCCACCAAACCTAAGCTTTTCTATAAACTTTGGTATTTTCTTTAAAGGTTAAATATTTTTACGATTCTATTAAATATCTCAAATTTTATTTTTAGTGTTTTAAAATATTTTTTAAAAAAATAAGTTTTTTAAAAATTTTCTTTCACATTTTTTATTATTTCTGCAATTTAACGATGATTTTTATAATTTAATAATAAAATTAACGATAGTTTTAACGATAATTTATTATTTAGTGTTTGAATTAGTTATGGTTTTAACGATAATTTTAATATTGAGAACTAAAAATTGTTAATGGAAAACTTTAGACAAATAATTCTTTAAAGAAAATATTTTAAATGATTGAAAATAACATTTGAGATATTTACGAAGATATAGATATATTTAACATTTTTTTTATATAAAAAGAATACTTTTTTTATTAATCACAAAGACCCAATAAAAAAGATTTAAAGTTGTTCCATTTTAAATAACTAATTATTTAACCATCTTACACGAATTTGAAAAAATTAATAAATAAAATATATTAACTTAAACTTTAAAAATAGAAATACAACATCTATTAAACTCAAAATCTAACTTAAAAGATGGAGCAATATCTGACATAATAACCAAAATAAAAAAATCTAAAGAGGTCAGGCAAGAGTATAAATACAATCTTTGTTCTTTGTTTTTATATATAAAATATGAGAAAATAAATATCTTGTATATTAAATTAATATAAAACAATGTTTAATTTATTTTGAGGTTTTATAAGAAAATATTAAAACTAAAGAAGTCATTTTCCACAAATTTAGAATCACTTTTAAATTATAGAAATTATTTTAATTTTTTATGTGAGAAATTTCAATAACAAGCATGATCGCTAGAAATTAAGCGTGAATATAAATAAGAAAGAAAGACACAAAACAATTCATAATTATGTGCTCCTGTACAATGAGAAATGATAATTGAATATTGATGAATATAATATTAATCAGGATGGAATTGAAATAAAATAACTAAGTTATATATTAAAAAAAATTAATGGTAATTTACGAAAACAATTTTTTTATAAATGTTATTTCTTGAGTCCAGAGTATATTTTTAGTGAATAAGGCTTTTTCTACTAAATGTGCTTAGATATTATGCACCAACACCTCAATAAGATACGAGAAAAATCTAAGAATTTGTTAGTGTGTTTAGTCAAAGCAAAAGAATAAAGAAAAAACCATATCTTCAAAAAGGCTATATAAAAAGCAAGATTATATGGATGATGGATAAGAATGGTTTAGTAATATTTCATGATTTCATACAAATTATGTTTTTGATAATAATATTTTAAGTATGAAATCTCATAAAAAGAAAATGACTAGACAATATACAATAATACTTTCACTCTTCATACAACTGCAAATACTAATCTAATAAATTAGACAAATTACAATTGAAAATTCTCCTTCAAAAAAATTTAACATAGAAAAAAAATTTAACATAGTTGTTTATGGATGAATTCAAATTTAGAATATTTGATTATATATGTCATATCTCAAATTTGTCCTATCTTTTTTAAATTGTATTTGTTCGATTTTATTTTCAATTTTGCATCGCTTATACAGCATAACGTGCTTTTCAGCATGAATAATTCCTGAGATGATTAGTCAGAATAAATTACATGAATATGCGGACGGACTGGTCGAATTGTGTCTCAAATATACAAGAAAAATCAGTGATTGAAAAGTTTCGGATTTAAGCTGCAGATGTAACACCCCACTTTACCCCGTACGCGTAATATAATAAATATATAGAAACAATTCGTGAAATTCATCAGAGTTCTCCAACACAGTGGGATATCACACTAAGTCACTTCATTTCATTAAAATAATCAATATTATTTAGTTTTCAAGTAAGCAGCGGAATACAAATCAATTCTCCAATATAATTCTCCTCGACACGAGGTCATACAACATAAGTCCAATAAATGAAGATACGTAACAATAAACAAATAAAGTAGTTAAATAACAACGTAATCCTGTCATCCCATGTTACGTATCAGAGCGACTCCTAAGACTCGATCAAATAGCAACACACTCCAAGCACTACTCAGGTACCTGGTCACCTGTACTCCCAAGAGAGCACAGACACAACAACAAAAAGGGGTGAGAACTACATTCAATAAATAAACGGTGAAATACACATGCTAAGGAGTAGTTACACACCACACATACAATCATACATAATTAACGCACATACACGTGCCACCTCAATCATTCGGCACTAATAGCCCACATTCAATTACAATAATGCAATGCGACTCACTGACTCGACACAATGCATGTGGTACCAGCACAATCTCATACTGTTCATACTAGAACCCGATTCCCGTCGGAATCCGGATAAGTCGTATATACGTTCCTCTGAACTACAACTTATCTCCACAACGACTTCCACATTGAAGTCCGGATGAAACTATGCACCCATCATGGATTCCCACCTAGCCATCTCCACAAGACACATGATATGAAATGTATGTCAACACAACTATGCAATATAATACATCATACATAATTCACGATCAATCTTGATCCACGTGAGCCATCCGCTCACCGTAATCCTCTCGGGAATTACCATAATTAGATATAAAAATATTGGGAAAATAAATACATTATCTATCCTATGTTATAGCTCTGTTCATTAGCTTTCCAACGCTTCGAACGGGGATCAAAACGGACTTACGGATCCAAAGTTACGTCCAAAACAATTTCGACCGAAAACATGAACATCTGTGACAGACAGAAAGACGCTGTTACGCTCCGGAACTGATATTCACCCAATTATTCTTGCGAATCACTTACTCAAAGCACCCAAAACATCACTAAAACATTCCTAAGGTTATACGGCAATAACGACACAACTTCTATGGTTTATTATGCTCATCTGGCAACATTTGCAACACATAAAACACTACTTCCTGCAATTGCTCTGAGTACCTCAGAGTTACCCACATTTGAATATTCCTATTCCTATAGGGACAACATATTACAATTTTTCCTTCAATTACACCCTACGACATTAAAATTACTCACTATCTAATATTTAACCCCTTCAGGGTCAGACATATAACAATGTCAAGGTTCTGGTCACGAAGGTTCAATTTCCCATAAGTTTTTCCTACAAGCACATATTAATATTCAACGATACATATCATTTGGCCATTTGTCCATAACCTCAGATTCTTACGGTTACCTCCATATTTCCCACAATTAACCCAAATCCCTAAACCTTAGGGAAACCTTAGAGCATCGTACTAATAACGATATAACACATTCATTTCTACATATTTGCCCAAATCCCTAAAAGTTCAGATTTCCAGATCTACTACTCACTAGTATTCTATGACAGCATCAAACATTTCTCACACGAATTCCATATTAATTCTGGTTTCGGATACACAAAACATCATACAAACAGTATTCAACAATAAGAGAAAATTTGAGAACAAATCAAGTTACGAAAATTGGATTCAAGGATCCTCAAGAACACATAATTCCTATGAGAGAAAGGACCTCTCACTACCCTCTCATGTTAATTCATCCATATTGAAATCCATTCTCTCCCCTTAACTTAGAATTGAGCTTTTCCTTGATCAACAATGGAGAATTTGGTTCCTCTCCCCTAGCTCTCCTTGTTCGTCAGTTTCTCT